TGTCTCAAAAAGCCTTGATGGGGAGTGAATGATGTCCTTTTCTATGAATCAACAATATATTAATGATGGGGGGAACATATAATATTTCAGCCACCTGTTTAATCTTTAACTCGTTTTTGTCTGTGCGTAATAATGTGTGTGTGCGTGTGTGTATATATATATCAAAGTGGATGAGAGTTTGATTCGGGCCATGCCTCCTCAGTACCTGTGCCTTTCCAACAAATTGCATAAGGGACCATAGATTAAAAATGTCAATTTTCACATTGATAAATCTGAAAGGGACTAGTGGCTGAAATTTTCTTCTCAGGCCAGCTCACTTTTCTAGAAGCACTTCATTTTTCTATTAATATTTTGATTCTTAATGTTGCGATTTGCTCGCAAAAGTCTCAAACCTTCTTACGTGTTTACATTTAATAATTGATTGCATAATGCATATTATTCCTTTACTCAATATATATATATATATATATATATATATATATATATATTGTGTCATTCCCACCTCCTTTGCGTTAAAATCGTGCTTTGTTTGAAATTTTCTGCAACCTTAAAACTTATGGTCCACTCAACAATTTAATAGTCCACAAGTGGAGAAGTACAATGAGGATGATTTATTCAAGATTTGAATTGATCTAAACATCATTTTTCTTTATAATTGGACTACAACTTAGTACTAAAAATGAATTTAAAATTGAGATTGAGATAACAATTTTAATTTACGAATCAATCATGTTAACAAGTTTGTTTATGAATAATTGTTCTTGGACAATATATACACAAGTGTTGTGTTATTCGAGTGGTTTGATTATTTTTTGTGTTTGAGAGTCGTGTTCGACCCTTGCACTATCCCCTCTTCCCTAACAACTAACCCCTAACATTCTTACTAGAAATTATTGATACTAGATCAAAATGTCTTTGGTTTGGTGGTATAACCCCTAACATTTCCAAAAACCCTAACAACTAACAACATTCTTGTTATAAATTATTGATGCTAAATCAAAAAGTTTTTGGTTTAGTGGTATAACCTTTTCATTTCCAAAAAAAATGGAGGGGATAGAGCCTGACGTGAGCAAAAAGAATATGTGTATTTGCTTTGAGAAATTATTACATAATCTTTGGAGTTTCTAGAAAATTCATAACTTTTAATTTTTGAGCAAAAGAATATGTGTATTTCCTTTGATAAATTATTACATGGTTCTGCAATCATTGGTACAAATCAACATTTGACACATCAGTAAATATGTCAGGATAATATAAGCTTTAGGGTCGGTGACAAAAAACACTAATATAGTATGCATATAGAGTGTGTAACATCTATACATTTTAAAATTCTTAACATTTAATTTTTGAGCAAAAAAAGTGCACCCCTTGGGTATATGCACGGGTGGAGTCAGAAATTAAATCCAAGGGACATAGTGTAAATAATAATAATAATAATAATAATTGTAATGACTCGATCATTTTCCATCTTTTCTTTTTCGGTAATTTTTTTTTCGTCTTTTCCCTATTTCGTCATTTTCTAGTCTTTCATTTTTTCTTCCATAACCTCACTTTTCGTGTTCGGATTTGATTCCGGCTTTGCATACATCCGTGATATTTAATTTTTGTAATATCCACATTTTCACTTTTGTAAGAAAGCATACTAGTCGCTTACTTTCCTTGTAAAGGGTATGGATGCATAACTTTTGGTAATATTCATAACTTGTAGGGTTTTTGGTGTAATTAAGTAAAACAATTATTTTTCGTCTCAGGGACTATTTTGTTATTTATTTTGGAAGATATTTTCAAAAAGGATTTTTTTGCAATTTTTTGAAAAATGTGATAAGTGTCACACTCTCATGGTGCCACTTGTTGATTTTGTGGTGGAACCGCTTGAAGGCTTAATCTCTTGACACATGGAAGGTAGAGATTCACCTATTTGTTGGCCTAGGATTGGAGCACTTGTTGCCTTAGATGAATGACAAGTGTAGGCTTAGGATTAAGCCTAGGAAGGAGCCTTAGATGAATGACAAGTGTAGGTCTCACAATTAGTCTTGCAAGTGTGTGTGTGAGAGGTAGTGCAAGAGCACCTAGTGAGTGGAAAATCCTACCACATTTAGTTTAGGGTTTGTGTCTTTATTTCATTTCAACACTTTCCTCTCAAGCCCTAACCTAGCCACCATTGAAGCAAAGCTAAGTTTAGAGCTTTAAGCTTCATTTTGGCCTCCTTCCACTCACCCTAGACCTTTAAGCTTGGAATACTTTAGATTCCTCTCACTCTCCTCTACAAAACCCTTGTTTGGTTTTCTATTTTCAAGCTTGGTTGTCTTGGATTATAGAAATACAATTTTCTATTGAGGTAGGGGGTGTTCTAAGTTATGTTTTTGATACTTTATATGCTTTATATCTTGATACAAACGGAATATATGTTTCTAATCTAAATTTTAAGTGAGTAGTTAATGGTATCTTGCATGAAATTAAGTTAGGACATGATTTTTGGAAAGGCCATGACTTGATTAATAACATATATTAACTTGGGATTATTTAGAGTTGCTTTGAAATTTAGAGAAAGTAATGGATTAATTTTATTAATTTTCATTTATATGTTCTCATGATTTAAATCAAGTTTTGAACTAATATATGTAATGACCATGGTAGGTTCCTTAACATATATTAAATTGAACATGTTTGGATGAGAAATGAAAAATCTAGAGGAATTAAGTATTTTGTGTAATTAATTTCCATCTTTGTTGTATTAATGATTTAAGTGTGTATTTTGTGTTTATTTTCATATTTAAATTATGATTTTAGACTTGCATAAAAAATTGTGAGATTATGTACTTGATATGGACTAATATTGTTATAGAAGGTAACAATTTGTACAATGATGTTTCAACATTCTTCATGCCATTATAATTGTGAACTTAGGGCATGTATTGTGTTTCCAAAATTGGTTTGTGCATGGTAGATGGATTTACATTGTGTATGTATGTTTATGCTAATATATCTACGTTGTTGCACAAATTGTTGATTTTGAAAACTTGGGATGTCGTTATTATGACTAAGGTTAGGGCATGATTCTAATACGGGGGATTATCCCTCTACAAGTCTAGTGCGCACATAGGGAGGTTACCCGTGGGCTAATAACCCTAAAGTAACTATAGTGTCAGTCTGATTTGGCGTGATGTACAAGTATCCACTTTGGTTTGATTTCACTCTTTAAATTCTAAGTTGATAACCTTGTGAATTTGTATCTCATTGCGTCTTGTTGAAAGTTCCAATGTCATTTAAATAATATGGATTAAATTGTATTGAATTGCAAATTTTGTGTAAAGATAAGCCTATGCATGTTCATTCTCTACGAGTAAATTTGTTTATTCACCCCAAAGTTACCAGGTGTTTTAGTGATTCTTGAGTCTAAGTTTATTAATTTTTCATTATCTTTTCAATGGTGTTTTCGGTAGTACCCACTTTCGTTTTTAAAATGACCATTTTGCCCCTAGGTTCATTCTTATCCATTTTTGAAATATCACTTCCGCATTTGTTTTCCTTGGATTCTGTGACCTCATTGAGGGTCACATTGGCTAGAAATGTATTGCATCGCTAGAGATCGTTGTGTTACCTTTTGCTTCCGCATTCTAAAGTCATTATTGGATCTACATTTGGTCTATCATAGGACACACTGACCTAAAAATCAGGGATGTCACAATAATAATAATAAATATGACAATAAATATAGATATTTCAAATTAAGAGGTAAAAAAGATAAATTATTCAAAATAATGTGTCAATCGTTGAGTCGTTTAAAAAAGATAAATAGTAAACAAAAAATTTAAAAAGGAAAGGAAAATGAGAAAACTTTGAAAAGGAAAGGAAAATGAGAAAACTTTGAAAGGGAAAAAAAAAATTGGACTTTGATTCACAAAAGGAAAAATTGACTTTTTTGTTTAAGCAAATTAAACAATTTAAAGAGTAATAAAGAGAAGAAATATAAAATTTAATAGATAATTTTAGATAATAAATCAAGGGGCATTATATAATTTTTTTTTATATATGCATATAAAAATATACAAAATTTAGTATAGTAAATGAGGTAAAGTAACCCAGGGGCACATGCCCGGGCATACACCGGCTCCGCTTTTGGGTATATGTCTACAATCCCCCATGCATTTTAAGAAAATTTTAATATTTAATTTTTGAACCAACAATTGGTGATGTGTCGAATGGTAATTGACCGACCGTAATAATTTTAAAATTTACTTTACCAATAAAATAATTATATTGGTACCCTCGAGGCTGGACTCATTTGTTAAATGAGTTTAAGAAACGTGTTGGAGCATAGCTTTAAATATTCATTAACACCAAATCTCATTTGCAGTCCTTTAGTAATATAAAATTGGAGAATAGCTTTAAATATTCATTAACACCTAATTTCATTTGCAGTCCTTTAATAAATATAAAATTAAAATTGGTGAATTTTAATCTGAATCTCATCCATTCCAAGACTCGGACTCATTTTTTTCCATATTCTCGTGAAACATGAAAATGATACTCCTCCAGATCTGACTTTTGGTTCACATTTACGTCTCATGTTTTTTTCTATTTTTAACCTACTCAAAAAAAAAAAAAAAAAACCATAAAAAAAAAATTCCTTTAATAAAAAGTGGGACCCACAGACTTGGTCGTCTTCATTGAGAATGCCAATAAAGTATTTTTTTTTTTTTTTTTTGGGAAGTTTGCCAATAAAGTATTCGATGCAACGAATCAGCTTCTTCAATTGGTCAGCAAAATACAACTAACAGCGTGGTGCTCAGATTAATGTTACTATATTTAACCACACACATTATTCTCTATGCTAATAGCCCGTTACCAGGCAAATCACCACCACTCGTACAATCAGCAAAAAGTTACTATCCAAATCTGAACGGTCAAGATCACGCCATCACAACCATATGTTATTAGGAAGCGTCGCATTGGATTCCCAACGTTTTAAGTAATCGTTTCAGCCGCGGGAACAATAGCCTCATTTTGACCAGCTGACTTTGAAGAGAGAGAAGGAAGTTTAGAGAGAGAAGGCAGTACTCTCAATCATGGACTTCTACATCTCTATATAACCCATCTTCTCCAAAACTGTTTCATCCAACGACTTTCTTCAGATCAGAGAATCTTTTGGCCATTGAAACTCTGCTGTATAGATCCATTCATTGGCCGATCAATTCATTGATTCAAACTGTATTTACTTGTAGTTTATGATATCTTTCTGGGTTTTTCAAATCAATTAATATATATATATATATATATATACACACATATCATCGAGTGAAGAAGAAATTAAAGGAAGGAGGAGAAATTAAGTGAGAGAGAAAATGGCGTCGGCTTTGGCGGGCGGCGATCTTGCCCGGACGGTGAGTAGTAGTAGTAGCAGGAGGAGTTGGCGTTCGCAGAGTATCCGGGACGTATGGCAGGGGCAGCCGGATGTTTTCCAGCAGAGCAGCCGGCGGCAGGTGGCGGACGACGAGGAGGAGCTGAAATGGGCCGCCATAGAGAGGCTGCCCACCTACGACAGGATGAGAAAGGGAATGTTACAACAGGTGATGAGTAATGGTAGAGTAGTCCAAAATGAAGTTGATGTTACCAATCTCGGAATTCAGGACAAGAAGCAGTTGATGGAGAGTATTCTCAAGGTCGTGGAAGATGATAACGAAAAATTCCTGAGACGACTTAGGGATCGAACCGACAGGTTAATCAATCCATCTCTTTTGTTTTTTTGTTTTTGTCTCTTTGTCTCTTGTTTATGTAGAATGTGTACTATACATGTTTAGCCCCAATTAACTGTTGAGTTGGAGACTTCAGTACTCTTGGGTTTCAGATCTTGAAAAGTATAAGATAAATATTTTTGTTTTTATATTTTTAACTTTTTCAATGGGAATTGACATTTTTTTTTGTTGTCTCACTCTGCTGGTTTATTTCCATGTTAGACTATTCTCCATTAGAAGAAGAAATTTTAAGAGTCTAAATCCGACCAACAGTTCAGTTAGAGACTTCAGTTTTCTTTCAGTTTAAGATCATGAAGAGTATAAGATTCAGAAATTTTTTATTTCTTTTTCTTGGTGTTTTTTTATTTATAAATTAATTAATTTATTTTTGAATGGAAATTGACCGTTTGTTTTTCATGGAAACAGGGTTGGAATTGAAATTCCAAAAATTGAAGTCAGATTCCAGAATTTATCTGTGGAGGGAGATGCATATGTTGGGACCAGAGCACTTCCCACTCTTCTCAATTCCACCCTCAATACAATTGAGGTAATCTTTTCTGTTTCTTGGCAATGGAAAATGACTTTTTATGTCAAAGAACAACACAAGTTTCAATTATTCATTTCAAAAAAATGTTTTTATCTTTTCTTGTTTGTATTATCTAATGGTGGTGCTCTCTCAATTTTGATTTGTATGTGAACAGGGAATTCTTGGAATGATTAAGCTTTCTCCATCAAAGAAAAGGGTTATCAAAATACTCCAAGATGTTAGTGGAATTATAAGACCATCAAGGTATTTACATGAAATCCTATACAAGTAACTGCTATTAGCCATCACTGCAAATTTAGTTCTGTACCCAAGTATACCCTTTATTCCTAGAGGCCATGGCCATTGTGTGGTGCCGTGATAAAATCTCAAATGGTAGGTGTAAAAATGGGGATTTGAGTATGCATGAGAACAACCAGTTTGTTCAAATAATATTATAGCTTAAATTTGCAACCACTCCATCCTTCATTATGGGAACCACATTGGGTATTGGCATCTAAAATGGCTACTCGTGTCATGTAGCCACTGCATATTAATTTTTTAAGAACTTCCTTTGTGTTCCATTTATGGATTTCCTGACTATTTTGTTCTTTCAGGATGACACTGCTCCTAGGGCCTCCTGCTTCAGGAAAAACAACTTTGCTACAGGCACTTGCAGGGAAGCCTGATGATGATCTAAGGGTTTGTCATCCTTTCTTTTTTCTTTTTACTGCGTGTTTCTGTCCAGTGCATATAAACATGATTATGCCCATTATTTTTTCCATATACTTATTTATAAATTGGGATTATGAACAGATAAAAGGGAAAATCACCTATTGTGGCCATGAATTTAAGGAATTTGTTCCTCAGAGAACATGTGCTTATATTAGCCAGCATGATCTTCACTACGGTGAGATGACAGTTCGAGAGACATTGGATTTCTCCGGACGTTGTTTGGGAGTTGGAACCAGGTATGAAATGTTGGCAGAGTTGTCAAGGCGAGAAAAAGAAGCAGGTATTAAACCAGATCCTGAGATCGATGCATTCATGAAAGCCACAGCCATGGCTGGCCAGGAAAGCAGTTTGATCACAGATTATGTTCTCAAGGTCTGTTGCTTCTATATCAAGCTCATCCTTTGTGTTTCTTTTAACAAGCCTAACATCTTCTGATTTTCTAACAGCTTCTTGGATTGGATATTTGTGCTGATATTATGGTGGGGGATGATATGAGAAGGGGAATATCTGGTGGACAGAAGAAACGTGTTACTACTGGTATGTGTAAATTACATTTAATTTTAAAATGTCATAATGGAAATCATTTTTTAACAAATCAGAGCATATTGCGTTATGACGTAAAATTTGTAAGTCATATTTGATTTTTTCCAAACATGCGAACAATCCCACACTTGGTAGTGCACAAAGTTGCTGCTTTCTTCTGTGTATGAAAAGCATATGTCTCATTCCTTAGTCAAAAGCTAAATTTTACTTGTGATTTCTAATTGTTCAATTTATATAATTCGTAAGCCTTTTTTTTTAAATTGAGGTCATTTTCATCCTTGTTTGTACTTTAATTTGTTACCACTTCATGATGTTCTAACTAGGACTAATTTACTCAATGCAGGGGAAATGTTTGTCGGACCAGCAAAAGCATTTTTCATGGATGAAATATCAACAGGGCTGGACAGTTCCACTACTTTTCAGATTGTGAAATTTATGAGGCAGATGGTTCATATCATGGACGTAACCATGGTCATCTCTCTCTTGCAGCCTGCACCTGAGACATTTGATCTTTTTGATGATGTTATCCTACTTTCAGATGGTGAGATTGTCTATCAAGGTCCGCGAGAGAATATTCTAGAGTTCTTTGAGTACATGGGATTCAAATGCCCAGAAAGGAAAGGAATTGCAGACTTTCTTCAGGAAGTAACTTCTAAGAAGGACCAAGAACAATATTGGTTCAAAAAGAACCAACCTTACAGATATGTCTCAGTACCTGATTTCGCACGGGCCTTCAACTCTTTTCACATTGGGCAACAACTCTCAGAAGATCTTAGAATTCCGTACGACAAGTCTAGAGCCCATCCCGCTGCATTGGTGACTGAAAAGTATGGTATCTCCAATTATGAGCTCTTCAGGGCATGCTTCTCAAGGGAATGGCTGTTGATGAAGCGGAACTCTTTTGTCTACATATTCAAAACTACCCAGATTACAATCATGGCAACAATTGCCCTGACCGTGTTCCTAAGAACGGAAATGAAAGCTGGTCAACCACAAGATGCTGCAAAATTTTGGGGAGCACTATTTTTCAGTCTCATTAATGTGATGTTTAACGGGATGGCAGAGCTTGCAATGACAATATTCAGGCTTCCTGTATTTTTTAAACAGAGAGATTTCTTGTTCTATCCAGCATGGGCTTTTGCCTTGCCAATTTGGATCCTTCGTATTCCCATTTCACTGATGGAATCTGGGATATGGATAATTCTTACTTATTACACCATTGGATTTGCACCTGCTGCCAGTAGGCAAGTACAAATTCATATACTTCAGTCAAGTTGAATTTGAAGGTCTTTCTAATGAGACTTTTATTCATTGATATATTTCCAACTTGTGCAGGTTTTTCAAACAGTTGTTGGCTTTCTTTGGTATACATCAGATGGCTCTCTCTCTCTTTCGTTTCATTGCAGCAGCTGGGAGGACACAAGTTGTAGCAAACACACTTGGTACCTTCACCTTGTTAATGGTTTTTGTGCTTGGAGGCTTCATTGTTTCCAAAGGTTAGAAATCCAATCATTACTGCATTCCCAAATCTTATCTGCGAATTGTTTCAAATTCGGTTTGATAAGTCACAAACTGCCAGCTTAATCCATATTCTTTCAAGATATGTGTATTAAACGATGAATATAAACATTGGGTTCTCGGTGTGCAGATGACATTAAATCATGGATGATATGGGGCTACTATATTTCTCCTATGATGTATGGTCAAAATGCCATTGCCATGAATGAGTTTCTTTCTGAGAGATGGAGCACTGTAAGATCTCCAATTGCTTTACAGTGATTTTAACATTCATTTTGGAGAAGCAAACTCCTACATATTTAAAATTATTATTATATCATACATGTTTAATATTATTATTATTATTATCTCTTTTGCAACAGCCCCTGCCGGCCAACTCTTCACAACCTACAGTTGGAAAGCTTCTTCTAAAGGACAGAGGCCTGTTTGTGGATGAGTATTGGTATTGGATTTGTGTTGGAGCGCTTTTTGGGTGGTCTATTCTTTTTAATATTCTTTTTGTTGGGGCCTTGACATACTTGAACCGTAAGTCAATATTTATCGTTTATTCTTGTAAATTTTTATGATGTTAATAAGATCATTTTCTGATTTTGTATTCCCAAATTCAATCTCAGCTCTTGGGGATTCTAAAGCTGTAATCGCAGACGAGGATGGTAATAACAATAATAAGCGGCAAATGACATCGAATGCTGAAGGTTTGTGATTTCATCAACTTGGTGGTTTTCTAACTTGGTGGTGTGGTAGCAAATTATCCAAGACCTAAAGCATATAGAAAAGTTGATTAAACTTGACAAAGTGCCAAATGAGGGCACCAGAGGGACTTAAAGGAGGTGTTAGAATACATGAATTGGATCTTCAAAAAAGGAACTAGTTTTGGATTCATGTACCATTAACAAATATTAATAATTTGACAACACAGACTTTGATGTTACTTGAGGCACTAAAGTTGAGATCTGACTTGAGATAGGTAGATATGAAAACTTGAAAAGCCTTTATCTAATTCTTTCCATTCACCAGAATCACCACGTATTATCCTTAGTTCATGTCATCTTGTTTAGAACAAACATTGCAACTAAGATGATTAAGTATGCTATCTTGTTAATCTACTTATCTAATGTCAATCATTACAGGTATTAATATGGCTGTGAGAAATCCTCAAGGGAATACTGGAAGAGGAATGGTTTTGCCCTTCCAGCCTCTCTCACTTACATTCAACCATGTGAATTACTATGTCGATATGCCTGCGGTGAGTCTTTCTCTGATGATTTATATTTATCTACAAACAATGATTCAAAGGATAAAAAATAATAATAATAATAAATAAATAAATAAATAAATCCACAGTATTAATTTAGAACTTTTCCCTAATCAAGTAGGTTTAGATTTAAGATTACAAAACACAATTTCAATTTGACTATATGATTGGGGAACTTATATAAAATTAAGTGTAGATCTTGATTCCAATATAATATTTATATTAATATGTTTGGATTTACATATCAGGAAATGAAGACTCAAGGGGTTGAAGAAACCCGATTACAACTGCTACGAGATGTTAGCGGTGCTTTTAGGCCAGGTGTTCTGACGGCATTAGTTGGTGTTAGTGGTGCTGGAAAGACCACTTTGATGGATGTGTTGGCAGGGAGAAAGACTGGTGGTTATATAGAAGGAAGCATAAACATTTCAGGTTACCCAAAGAACCAAGAGACATTTGCTCGAGTCAGTGGTTACTGTGAACAGAATGATATCCATTCTCCCTATGTTACTGTTTATGAGTCAGTCTTATACTCTGCCTGGCTGCGTCTTGCTAAGGATGTAAACACAGAAAAACGAAAGGTTTGCATGAATCACCAGAAATATGTCTTTTTCTCTTCCATTTCAAGATTAATTTGACTGAAGAGCTATTTGTTCCTTTCTTACTATAGATGTTCGTTGAGGAAGTTATGGATTTGGTTGAGCTTAATCCCTTGAGGAATGCATTAGTTGGACTTCCAGGTGTAGATGGTCTTTCAACTGAACAAAGAAAGAGGCTCACCATCGCCGTTGAGTTGGTTGCTAATCCTTCAATTATCTTTATGGATGAGCCCACATCTGGCCTAGATGCCAGAGCTGCTGCAATTGTCATGCGTACTGTGAGAAACACAGTTGATACAGGGAGAACTGTTGTGTGCACAATTCACCAACCAAGCATTGATATTTTTGAAGCTTTTGATGAGGTATGGTTTGTTCCATGCATCTTATTTATTCTAACACAATCATTTTATGCACTCTGTCTGATATTGATATCATTGTTTCTTTGCAGCTGCTTTTGATGAAGAGAGGAGGACAAGTGATTTATGCTGGATCTCTTGGTCGCCAATCTCACAAGCTTGTTGAATACTTTGAGGTGAGATTTTCTGTTAGCTGTATGCCTTTGGTGCAATGCTGACTTCATACATAAATTTATGCTAAATCTCTTGGTTTAAATGGACAGTTTCCGGATCACCAGCATTGTGCTCCCACAATAGGGGATAAACACTATTTGAGAACTTATTTTTGTCTATCTTTCTATTGGTGCACTGCCAGACAACCTATAATTTCTCCTCAAATAATCTAGTCTAGTTTGGGATAGACTTCGCTGCTAATAAACTAGTATTGATTCCTAAAATTTTCACTTCGATAAAAAATATTGAAAAGAGCTCCGTGGATGTAGGGCTGGTTTGTGCCGAACCACGTTAAATCATGTGTTTTTGTGTGATGGCTTGATTGTTTTTTGCTTTGCTGGTTTTTTCGTAACAGAGCTGAATATGTTTTCTTAGATGCTGAAGGGTCTTGAAGCCTATATTATTCAATTTGAAACTTTCAACCATCCATTATCCAAGTTTGATTAATAACCAACTCCTTTTGCAGGCTGTCCCAGGGGTTACTAAGATTAAAGAAGGTTATAATCCAGCTACCTGGATGCTGGAGGTCAGTTCTTCTGCAGTCGAGGCACAACTTGATGTTGATTTTGCTGAAGTTTATGCCAACTCCAGTCTCTATCAGTAAGAAATTACAACAATATGATATTCAACATCTTGTCCTAGACATTGTTTATATCACTCTCTCTCTCTCTCTCTGTGAACTAATTTTTTTTTTCTTTTCTTTTTTCCTTTTCCAGGAGAAATCAGGAGCTTATCAAGGAACTAAGCTCTCCAGAACCGGGTTCCAGGGACCTCCACTTCCCCACTAAATACTCACAATCCTTTGTAACACAATGCAAGGCTTGTTTCTGGAAACAACATTGGTCATACTGGAGGAACTCACAGTATAATGCAATCAGATTCTTCATGACAATTGTTATTGGTGTCCTTTTTGGTGTTATCTTCTGGGGCAAAGGAGACCAAATGTAAGTTTAAAAATTCACTATTATTATTATCTGCATGATTTAGTAAGTAATGTTATCATAGGCTGATTATGGTAAACCTTTTTTAACTATTGCCTCTTTTTTCGTCAACAGATACAGACAACAAGATCTGCTTAATCTGCTAGGAGCTACCTATGCAGCTGTCCTCTTCCTTGGAGCCACCAATGCTTCTGCCGTGCAATCTATAGTAGCAATTGAAAGAACAGTCTTCTACCGTGAAAGAGCTGCAGGAATGTATTCAGAGTTGCCATATGCATTTGCTCAGGTAAAAGATATTTTCAATATATGCATAATGTTGTGTATTCAGAGTTGCCATATGCATTTGCTCAGTAACATACATCTTTTTACACTTCTAATATTCTTCTGTTTCTTTTCCACTGCAGGTGGCCATAGAGACCCTTTATGTTTTAGTTCAAACCTTCATCTATTCTCTCCTCCTTTACTCCATGATTGGGTTCCATTGGAAGCTGGATAAAGTTTTGTACTTCTATTACTTCATATTCATGTGCTTTACCTACTTCACAATGTACGGGATGATGGTGGTTGCTTTGACTCCTGGTCATCAAATTGCTGCTATTGTCATGTCCTTCTTCCTGAGCTTCTGGAACTTGTTCTCTGGTTTCCTTATCCCCAGGCCGGTATGTATCCTAAATGTCGAATGTATTGAAAATTTTTTGACGAAAATTCCACAATTACTCATAAAAACAGTAGCCAAGCCCTTGCTGTCGAGAAGAAACCAGAAGTGCTTTCAACACTGGAAAGATTCTTTAACAAATTGTTTAAAAAATATATAGGACTTCATTGGTGTCTTTAGAAATATACTTGATATTCATGATTAAGTAAAATGCATTCAATTTTGAGCATAAAAACATCACATGGGCTTGTCAAATTTATTTCACGTGTTTTGACACAGTGCATATGCATATCACTTGAAAGCATCTCCTTTTGTAATCAAAATTATGACACTTGTGCTCAAAATATTTGCAGCTTATTCCCATCTGGTGGAGGTGGTACTACTGGGGTTCTCCAGTTGCTTGGACAATCTATGGCATCTTCACATCTCAAGTGGGTGACAGGAAGGGTCAGCTCGAACTACCCGTTGGACCTTCAATCCCAGTGGACCAATTCCTCAAAGAAAACTTGGGTTTCGATCATGACTTCCTTATACCTGTGGTTTTTGCCCATGTTGGTTGGGTCACCATGTTCTTCTTGGTCTTTGCTTATGGCATCAAGTTCCTTAACTTCCAAAGAAGATAGAGAAACTTCATTCCACTCTGGAGGATCTTTAGAATGTTAATCAGAGGGGAGAAAAGAAAACTGTTACCTCTCTAATTTGTCTTGAACCATTTTCTTTTGTTTGGCTTGAGTTTCTGTTGTCAATATGCTTGATTAATAGCTTGTAGTAGTTCTCCAAAACATTTCTTGGTTACTTCTGTATTATATTAGAATCGATTGCCTTTGCAAACACAGTATTTGTGGACTTGATTGGTACCTGCATTTGTAAAACACTTTGTTGGAAATCTTATCTATAAGTTGACTCAACGATTATGACAGATTTATTGGGTCTGCAATATAGACTAATTTTTAGGGATTATATTTTTATTCTGATTTAATTTGATTTTATTCTCTTTATTTTGATTTGATTTTATTCTCTTTTCCATATTTGTAATTTTCCGCTTGTATATAATGATAGTCAGGCTCTCAAATTGAGTACGTCAATTTTACCAAGTTATTTTTTGGTATCAGAGCCTTAAACCTACGCCTCTCCCATCTCTCTCTTTCACCGCCTCTTTCAATATCTCTCTCTATCTCGTTACAGCCCTTTCCCTATTTTCTTTTTTTTTTAACAGACCTTCTCTCTTTTTCAGGGCGCTGTTGCGACAGTCCTAGGGGGAGTCAATCTCCTCTAGGTTCGACCCCTGTAGGGGTATTCCCTTAGTCTTTTTCATGCACTAAGGGTCAGAAGACGTGTTTGTAATTTTTTGGGGCTGCCGGGATATTCGGCAGCATTTTCGGATCAGACCGCTGTGTCTCCGGCTTCTTGATTTGATCAAAATCAGGTTTATTCCTCCTTTATTTGAAATTATTGGTAATCTGTTGAATTGATCTATTTAATATTATGGCTGAATCAAGTAATAATAAAGAAACTTTCTTTTCGGCGCAACACACACCGGCTCAACAAGTTACTAGTGTGCTGTTGAATGGCCGTAATTTTGCATCCTGGGCTCGTTCCCTCCGCCTCTATGTTGGTGAAAAAGGCAAATCAGGGTGGATTTTGGGTACTGAAAAGAGGCTAGATATTAAAGATCCTAAATATGCTCAGTGGGATATAGACACCATTTTAGGATGGATGTTTAATTCTATGGAGGAACGCATTTATAATATATTCATGTTTTATGACTCTGTTAATGACTTGTGGACTGCTTTGAATTAAATGTATGCTCATTCTAGGAATGATGCTCGTATTTTTGAATTATATCAAGATATTGCTAAGGCCTCGCAGGAAGGCTTGAATTTGTCTGTAACTGATTATTTTGGGTATTTGAGATCTCGTTGGGAGGAACTAGCTTAATATGAGCCTCTCAGTGAATTTCCTTCTGAGGCAGCCTCTCTTCTTGTCAAATGTCTTGATCGTCAGCATACCTATCAGTTTTTGATGGGATTACGCCCAGAATTTGAACCACTAAAGTCTCAGATCTTGAATGCATCACCAATGCCATCCTTGTTGGAAGCCTTTGCTACTGTTGATGGTGAAGTACGCAGGCACCGTTTAATTCAGCCCTCAATTGTTCTTGTACCAGTGTCTGAGCCTATTGGGGATAGTATGGCTTTTGCAGCCAACTTTGGATCACGAGCTTCTGGAGGTCAGATTATTTGTCACCATTGTGGAGGGGTTCGACATGTTAAGGCTCATTGCTTCAAACTTCATCCTGAACTGAAGCAAAAATTTTCTAGGAACCGTTTATCTGGAACTGGTTCTTCTCGTACTGCGGCTGTTGCAGAAACTCCTGTTAATACTGGTGGATCTACTGTATTTCTTGGACTGAGCCAGCTTCAGTCTCAGATTGGGCATATTCAGGACCAGCTTGGCTCCCTTGCTTCTAGAGTTAGTGCTCCTTCAACTGCTCCCACTGCAACTTTTGCTACAGGTACTCCTACTGCATTTCATGTTAAGGCCAAGCAGCCCACTTGGGTTTTGGATTCTGGGGCCAATGATCATATGACTGGTGAGTTATCAGTTTTTCCTTCTAATATCATACCTGTTACCTAATCTGTGTATCTTGCGGATGGCTCTACATCTTGCATTCATAATAAGGGTGATGCTTGTCTGTCTCCTGATATTACTCTTTCATCTGTCCTTCATGTACCTAAATTTGCCTTTAACCTTTTATTTGTTAGCCGGCTTGCAAAACACCTCCAATGTGCAGTTATATTCTTACCAGATCACTGTTTGTTACAGGACCTTTGTTCGAAGAGGATTTTTGGCAGGGGTTATGAGCGTGATGGGCTTTACTACTTTGGGGAACCACCAGGAACGAGTCTTCAAGCTTCTATCCTACCTACTTCTAGTGTTTATGATTTTTCTTTTCGCACTTTTAGTCTGTGGCATGCACGTTTGGGGCATGTAAACTTTCAATATCTATGTCTATTGTTTCCTTCGTTAAATAAAGCATGTGAGGACCATAAGTTTCAATGTGAAGTTTATGAGCTTTCTAAACATACTAGAACTAGCTATATTTCTCATATGAGTCGTGCTCCTAGTATGCTTGATCTTATTAATTCTGATGTTTGGGGCCCTTCCCCAGTTACTGCTTTCTCTGGACATCGATATTATGTGACATTTATTGATGATTATTCTCGTTGTACTTAGGTTTATTTATTGAAAAAGAAATCTGATTGGTTTATTTTATTTACCCAGTTTCTTCAAATGATCAAAACCCAATATAACACTGTTGTCCGTAATATTCATTCTGATAATGGACGAGAATATGTTTCGAATGAGTTCCGGTCTGAACTTAATAAAAAGAGGATTTTACATCAACTCACTTGCCCCTATACTCCTGAGCAAAATGGCGTAGCTGAATGCAAAAACCGTCATCTTATGTCTGTGGTCCAATGTCTTCTGAGTGGTATGCATGTACCTAAATTCTATTGGCACATGGATATTCTTACAGCTACTTTTTTGATTAATAGTACTCCCAGTCGAGTTTTGGGTGGTAAGGCACCACGTCAAATTCTCCAGCCTGATTATACATTGTTTCACCTTCTGTCTCGAGTTTTTGGCTGTACTTGTTTTGTTCATAACCATAGTCCTTCTCGTCATAAACTTGATGATAAATCTATTAGGTGTATTTTCTTGGGGTATTCTGCTATGTCAAAGGGCTATCGTTGTTATCCTGTGACCAAACATATGTATCATTCTCTTGATGTGACATTTCATAAAACTGTTCCTTTTTATAGTACTAATTCTGTGGTACATGATTCTCTCTCTTGTGATCTGGAGAAGGAGATTTCTCCTATTGTCCGTCCTGTTCCTCTCTTTGAAAATCACACTTTCCTGGAATCTCCTTCTCTATCCATGCAGGGTTCCCCTCCACCTTTGCAGGTCTACTCTCATCGCCATCGCACTCAACCTCCCCTGCCAGAATCATCTTCAGAACCAGGTCCAGGTAACTCTCCTTCTCCTATTGCTCCTATAATTCCTAAGCGTACCTCCCGTTATCCTACCCCGTGATCGTCATCCTCCTAATTGGTATAGTTTTTTTAGTAGCACTAACCACCCTATTTCCCAGTGTGTCTCATATGATGGTATTTCAGGTGCATATAAATCCTTCCTGGGCAAGATTGGGACGATTTCTATTCCTCGATCTGTGTCAGAGGCCCTCCAGGATCCCAATTGGGTGTCTGCCATGACAACAGAAATGGATGCTTTACACCATAATAATACATGGGAACTTGTTGCTTTACCTTCTGGGGAGAAAACGGTTGGCTGCAAATGGGTCTTTAATGTGAAGTACTTAGCCGATGGTTCTATTGATCGGTATAAGGCTCGGTTGGTGGCCAAAGGCTTTACTCAGATTCCGGGCAAAGACTTTAGTGCTACCTTTGCTCCTGTGGCTAAGTTGACGTCTGTGCGACTGCTTATCTCCTTGTCTGCTGCCCATTCTTGGCCTCTGCATCAGTTAGATGTCAAGAATGCATTTCTTAATGGAGACTTACTTGAGACTATATATATGGATCCATCCCCTGGATTTTGGGCTGAGGGGGAGTATGCTGGGAAAGTCTGTAGGCTACGGAAGTCTCTTTATGGTCTGAAGCAATCTCCTAGAGCTTGGTTTAGTCGTTTCAGCGATGTTACTTTATCCATGGGCTTTGTGCGCTGCCACTCAGACCATACTTGTTTTATTCGACGTCGCTATGATGGTCGTTGCATTATGTTATTGGTATATGTGGATGATATCATTATCACAGGCGATGATGCTTCAGGGATTGCTCAGGCTAAACTTCATCTTCAAAAGTCCTTTGATGTGAAGGACTTAGGTCCTCTTCGATATTTTCTTGGAATTGAGGTTGCTAGATCCCGTCGTGGAATTTCTTTATCTCAAATGAAATATGTTTTGGATCTTCTTCAAGATACTGGCATGCTTGGGTGTTGACCCGCTTCCACTCCTATGGACCCCAATCTTAAACTCTCTGTTGAGTTACTTCCAGATCCATCCGTGTATCAACGTTTAGTAGATTGTTTTATTTACTTGACTAACACAAGGCCCGATTTGACATTTGTTGTTAGTGTGATTAGTCAATTCATGCATGCCCCTCGCTCAGCTCATATGGATGCAGTCTACCATATTTTGAGGTACCTTAAGTCGTGCCCTGGTCTTGGTCTGTTCTATGCCTCAGGAAATCAGTCTGGACTCTCATGCTTTATTGATGCAGACTATGCTGGATGTGAGACAGATAAACGTTCTACCTCTGGCTTCTGTACTTTCTATGGTAATCATCTCATATCATGGAAGAGTAAGAAGCAGGCTGTTGCTTTTAGATCCTCTGCTAAAGCTGAATACCGAGCTATGGCTCAAGGTACTTGTGAGCTCCTTTGGCTTCAATCAATTTTTGGAGAGTTGGGTCTTGTACAGAAAGGTTCTTCAAGGCAGTTTTGTGACAATAAATCAACCATTATGCTTGCTCTGATTCTGTTTTACATGAAAGGTCGAAACATATTGAGGTAGACATTCACTTTAATCGAGAGAAGGTTCGATCGGGTATCATTAATCCTATTTTTGTTCCTTCTTCAGAACAGACTGCAGATGTGTTCACAAAGTCTGTTGGGCCTTCTCTTCTCCAGTCTTCCATAGTCAAGTTGGGCTTAGTCAACATATTTGCTCCAGCTTGAGGGGGAGTGTTGGAAATCTTATCTATAAGTTGACTCAACGATTATGGCAGATTTATTGGGTCTTCAATATAGGCCAATTTTTAGGGATTTTATTTTTATTCTGATTTGATTTGATTTTATTTTATTCTCTTTATTTTGATTTTATTTTATTCTCTTTTCCATATTTGTAATTTTCCGCTTGTATATAATGATAGTCAGACTCTCAAATTGAGTACGCCAATTTTACCAAGTTATTTTTCACTTCTTATGGAATACACAATTGTTCTTCTCTTTCTTTTTGACTAAGCTGTGGCCTAGAGAGATACCTTGGCAGTGTATTTTGTTGAAGGTTTGTCGCCGCCTTCTCCTTCAATCTTTTGTGGCTTCTGCGGAGGGTATTTTGTGCGCGGTGCTTGAGCTAACCGATGTTTGGTAGGTTTAGCTTGGGATGTTCTTGTCCGCTTGGTTTTCCTTCTCTTTATGCTGGTCTGTATGGTTGGGCTTGTACTGCTGTGTTGATAGTGGTTCTCTTGGGATGTTGGGGATGTTGTGGTTGGTTTCTTTATGGTATCGGTTTGTAAGAGCCTTGTTGGCTTCTTTGCTTGTTGCCAAGGAAAATAAAAAAAAGGTACACATGGGCTCTTAAGTTTGATGTTATCCTCGGAAAACATGGCTCTTTTTGCTTCAACCATGTTTGGGATTATTGTTGTAATCACATTATCAAAAGAGGCATTATCTAGTGGCCTAGTTGGTAGAGCTATCAGTTTCTTGAGCGGATGTGCTCGTATTCAAATCCCTCCACCACCTAGTTTGCCAGAATAAAAATAAAAAATAAAATTATGTGGTTGTTGACACCTATTTTTGTAAATCACCGGGTGACTAATTTGGTGATGGTGTGGCAACCACCATGTAGGTAATGATTAAAGCTATAATAGTGTTTTGGTTTGGTGGGGATGCATGCACAAGATAATATTGTTGGAAGATGGTATGATTGCGTAGCCAAATAGGTTATGGAAAGAAAAACTATTTTGAGAGAGGAATAAACACGTTTTTCTTTATCCAATCTACTTTACTAAAATTACCGGTAATTTAAACAATCACACAAATTGAAAGTAAGAAAAGTTTAGAGTGATACCGGATTTTAGTAAGGAAACCAATTGGAAAACCTCGTGGTTTTGTGCGCTATCCCAAGCGTAAAAAGATCCACTATCTATGAAGCAAAGTACATCGAACTTTAACTCAGACTCAAACCCCTTCGCTTTACCAAGACTCAATCCGTGCAATGTATCTGACTTTACGACTTCCTGTCCAACAGTTCTCGACTTAAGACTTATGCCTCGAACCTTGTAGAAGAATTGCTGGTAGATCAACAACAATTCGCAAGCACCTTGATCCCTTCAAAGTGTGAACTGAATTTCTTCTTGTTTGAATCTGAATTTGACATAGAAGAAATAAGATCTGATGTGATGGTCCGAATTTCGAAGAACCCGGTGGTGCGTCAGTGAGTAACCCGAAACTGATCCGATAATGAATCCCAATACGGAAGCAATGAAAGAGAAGAAGTCTTTAGAGATGAATACCACCTCTAAGACGCCAAAGTGACTTCCCGAGAAGTCACGAGACTCAAAAGAAAACAATTACAGAAGCTAGGGTTTAAAACGGACAAAGTGAACCACTAGGGTAAAATGGTCATTTCAAACAGAATTGGGTGTCACCGTGCATACCATTGGATAGGCAACGAAAAATTAAAAAATTTAGACTCAAAAATCACTTGATTTGGAGTTACAACGAAAAAGTTATGCAATTCCAAAGTTTTACAAAAAAACTACCAAGTGCCCAGTGTGATCAATCGTTAAAAGCTAGGATTGATCGTAAAAAGTTAGGATCGATCGTAAATGGCTGGGCTGCGACCGTGAAGTTTTTGAAAACGCTTATTTTTCGAAGCAAAAAATGGAACTTTTTGGAAAAAGTTGGTGAAGCAACCCACCCTAAAAATGAGTCGTATAATCAACCATAGTCTAAACCACATATGTTATGCAACATAAAATGACCAAAATGCCCCCAAGATGAAACTATATGAAGGAAGTAAATTTTTGCTGAAAATTGAAATACATTCCAAACATCAAAAGTGTTTGGTCCTTGGCCTCATCAAAATAAATTATTTAGGTTCATAATACATAACAAAAAGGAAGGAAGGCATGCTTCTAAACAAGTTAAACATTTACCACACCTAAAGATTACTGAATCATGCTAACACTTGCATGTCAAAAGTACACAAAAGAAATCCAAATGCTACTCAAGCCAAGCTAGGGATGTTGAGCATCCAAAAAGAGAACCTCCTTGCCTGAAAAACAAATATCAACTAGGGTGAGTAAATGAGTTACTCAGTAGGATGAAGCGTATGCGTATAACCTAAAGTCTCAATGGTTTTTTGCAAGTGTAATATAAACCAAATACATGTGGATCAAGCCTTCTAATGTCTAG